CGTTCCGGAGGGGTTGGGGCATGGACCCTATACCCGAGGGGTCGGGGCACATCCGTTACGGAGGGGTCGGGGCCGTTACCTCCTCGGGGCAGCTGGGCGGACGTGGCAACCGCTTCTCTTCCTGTAACACCCGAACGAGCCGCGCTACCGTCATCTGCCCCTGGGTGGGACCCGTCATTTTCAGGAACTCCTGTGTGAACAGCACGAGTCAGCGGTGCCTTCGCCTGCCCCGTAAACCCGTCCCCCTAAACTTGATGTTAAGGTGGTATTTGAATCTCTAAGTGAACAGTAGATATTTACAGAATTACATGCATCATACAAGCATGTGAGAAAACAGAATGGAAGCTGTAAAACTAGTTTCCTCACCAGGGCATGTAGTCACCACAACTTACCCTTCTGCAGGCGCTCGAGTGCAATACAACCACGAGGATTGTTTAGGTAACACAGAAAGTGATTCCATCTCTTTCTCCCCCCCAAAGATGAATAGCTAAAGCAGTTTTCACAGCAGTTCCTTCAGCAAGCACTTACAGCCATGGGGCTGGACTCGGAGTCGCAGTAGGTGAGGAGCTCGTAGAGCGTCACGCCGAAGGACCACACGTCGGAGGCGATGTAGAACTTGCTCTGCAGCAGGCACTCCGGCGCGTACCTGCAGGCACCGCGCGGCTCCGTTAGTTGTTTTTCCACGTGCTCAGACCTACTCTCATGCACATCCCGCCTGCAGCATTGACATTAAGCTACAGAACGACGTCTATGTTCGTGTAGCTGAACATATAAATTAACATCTTCCCCCAAGGGCCTGGGATGCTGCGTAAGGAGTGACCTAGCTACAACTGTTACAGAGCAAATTGCTCTGAAACTAACAGAGCCAAAATAACCAAAAACAAAATAAAGGGAAAATGGACCATTAAGCTCAGGACAAAGTAAATGGTGTCCTTGCAGCTTAGCCTAGTCAGCCACATCCTTGTGCTGATGGTGTATGTTTGTTTATTTTAATTATTATCAAACAAGGAAGGCTTCCCGGCTGCCAAAGTCCATGGGAGCAGCCAAGTTATTCTATTGCACAGGCTGGTCAATGACAGTAAGTTTTATGCTCTTACCAAAACACAGGGCTGTCGAGGTCGTCTTTGACGGTGTAATACTCCTTGTCGGTCTCGATGGCTTTGGTGAGCCCGAAGTCCCCAATCTTCACTCTGTTCTCGCTCTCAACGAGGACGTTTCTGGCTGCCAGGTCCCGGTGAACGTACTGCCGGGAGCCCAGGTAATCCATGCCCTAGGAGGGAAGAACACCTTTTACGCTGGTTTCTCCAACAGTGAAGTTGCTGTTTTTTCTCCCAACTTCCCTTTCAAACGCTTCCTTGCTCATGGAGCAACTTCTATCCAGATCTCCTCAGCAGCATCTCCTGGCACTTTTGAGGGTCCTTTTCTTACCCCTCCTCCCTCCAACGTCTGCCTTTGGGTTCCTCATCCTGTCAAGGCTGCTCTTGTTTCCGGATTGTTTTTTCCAGCTCTCAGCAGCCCCACTGCTCTCTTCAGTCCTGCTCTGCATGGCAACAGCTCCCTCATCCACAGCTAAAATGAGGTGTCCTGCAGGTGTTTTTTCCCTTACAACTGCCCTGTCCACTGCAACCACTGACCTCGAGCCTCCTGCAGGAAGCCTGTTGCTTCGCATGGTCTCACTCCCTGCATTGGTTCCTCACACTCTTCCTCCTGTTAAGGTCTGCACGTGGCTCTTCCTTGCCAACATTCCCTAAAAAATGCTCTCCTCCCTCTCCTACTTTCAATTCTGCCATTGGAGCCACTTCTACTTCTTAAAGAGATCTTTTATGCAAAGGCAGCTAGTGGCTTGGCCACAGCAGCTGAAGCAGCGGGCAGGCTGCCTCAGGATCCGGATCCCTGGAGGCAAAGTGAGGAGAAGGGGTTTGCTCAGGCCCCAAGTTCCTCTCCCCCCCCACACCTCCCATTTTGCCTATTACACATTGTATTAAACTAATTAATCATAAGAGTTAAAAAAAAAAGAAAAAAGGCACTGCCGCCAGGCTCACCTTGCAGATCTGCACTGCGTATCTGAGCAGCTGTTTGAGGTTGATTTTGTTCTTGTTCCGTGGGAGATACTCCTTTAGGCTCCCAGAAGGAAGAAATTCCATGATGAGTTTAATCCCACTTCCTCCTAAAAACATAACAGATGAGTCCATTTGCAGGCAGGTCACCTTTCTCGTGTCAGCACCACCAATAATTTTTCATGCCCCTGCTCGGCTGTTTCTTTACAGCAACCACTGCCCACAAGTCACCAACTCCCACGAGCCGTCGCTGCTGAGCGCCCTACAAATCCAGAGCAGGGCCATTCCACACAGCACCAGTAATACTCATAAATAATGACTTTTAAAAATCACTATTAGAAATGAGAAATAAAAGGCAAAAAGACTCTTTTCTATAAAGACTATATGCCTCTAATAGTGCACTGTGGGACTGTGGGGTTGTAACTGGGCTGCAGTGGTAACTCGCTCCTGAGACACAGAATCCACTCTGCCCTTAATGATAAATTGTCCCCTCCTTCATGGGAAAAGAAGAAAGTCTAACTCGCTCTTTAAGATAGGAAGCAAGGCTGTTTGCTTTTTTAAATGCTTATTTAAAAAATAACACAAAAAATCTTCAGGCATGTACTTTTAGTATTCTGCATAAGGATTTACCATCTTCTGTGCAAATTCCCTTATACTTGACAATGTTTTCGTGATAAAGATTCCTCAAGATTTCGATTTCCTTCTTCAGGTCAGCAATGTGATTCCCGCCACTCTCTGGCTTTAGAGATTTAACTGCCACTTGCTCCCCTGTGTTGTCGCCCTCGGGGTCGTATCTGCAGAGTTCAACCTTGCCGAAGTGCCCCTAAGTGTAAGAGAAGGCAGGGGAGCGTTACTGATGGCAACGCTCGCTCACCCGAGCGCCACGAGGCCCCACGTGGGGCCCTGCTGCCCCACGGCTCCTGCTGGGGCGCAGGGAACGCACACACTTGTACTGAAAATACAGAGATCAGAAACGCTGCTTTTAGTAGTATCTTTGCAGCTTGGAGCACGGCACCCTGGCCTCCATGGACACTGCCCAGCTTTCTGTACAGGATACGCCTCCTTTCCACAGTGGGACTGAGCACCACGTGCACCTGGGCCACGTTTAGCTCCAAATAGACACGTCCTCCTCCCTTCCCATGCTGCCTGCTCTCCGGCTCAGCCCTCGTTGGACACAAGGTTGAGCTGGCCCAGAAACGCTCCTTTCTGCTTCCCAGAGTAGAGCCCCGAGCTGACATGTCACCTACCTCCCCCAGGTCACGGATCCGCTTCAAGAATCGCTTTTCAAAGAGGGTGGGATCGACTTCTGTAACAGGCTTCTTCTCAGAGACAATATCAGGATCTGGAAGGGGAAAAAGAGCCACAGGTTGGACAGAGCCCTGCAAGGACATCTTGGTCTTCACACTTTGCAACATCATCTCCAGCCCCGCCACTGCTCCTGCTAGTGTGTGTCCATCCTTCCTGTCACTAACTTTTCTTACTTAACTCCTGCCTACTTCTTAACAGAGAATTCCTTCTCTTCGCACGTGACAGCCTTTCCCTTGCTGCTCTTCCTTTCTCACTTTATGGGCTCCTTGCTGGAGCTTCTTCCAGGGTCACCCAGCTCAGCTGTGCAAAGTGCTGGTTACACTTGGCCACTTGACACATCCCATCCAGGTCTGTAGAAGTCATTCAGCTTTTATGATCATCCAGGCACGGGAAGTCAAGTGTTAACCCTATTAGACACCAATCTTTTAGTTGCTCTTTAGTGATGTTAATCTGAGGTGAACCAGGAATCCGTTATCTAGGTTAATGCTGGCAGTCAACAGAGGCCTACAGAAATCTCAGGATCAAACCATCTTCAAGCCAAGCTTGAAGCTGCTGTGTGACATATGGAATATCAAACGAAACCTCAGGACACAAAAGTGGCACATTCAGTCCAAATCAAACACTCCTTTAATCTACAGGAAAGGCCGTTTCCATCAGCTATGGACACAGCCCTCCCTGCACACCCCATACAGAGCCCAGGTGCTGCCACCCCCTGCAAGGCTCTGCTAGACCGGCCGGATCCCGCCTTACTCTGCTCCTCCAGCTTGTTGATGTCCCTCATGATGGCTCTGAAGAAGGGCCGCTGGTTGGGGTCGTAGTTCATGCACTGCTTCATCAGGTCCGCCAGCTCCTTGCACGATGGGGTTGCCAACATGTAATGGCCCTCGTAGAACC